ACAGAAACAGAATGACCTCGTTTGAGGGTTCAGTTAGAATTCTGTATTCTTCGCAGAACATTTTCCCTACTGAAAACAGATTGATTCTTTTGTCCAAGGAGTTCCACAGTTCTTGTTAACGGTGGCGAGTTTTTACATTTTCACGTCAAGACAGACCTCAAGTGCATCACCCACTACTAATACTTTAGGCTTTCTTTTCATCTATCAGCATGGCCTTGTCTTTATTTTGTTTTTAACTTTGAACATCTGAAAAAAAATGCATTAACTTGGCCTTCCTTTTGCATTAGCTTCGCCAGGACCTCACTGCTTAGACTAAAGAGATTAAATTGATCTTGACTTTGTCAAGCAGACTATGAACTTCAAATGCTGGGAAGGTCTGTCTTGCCTGAAGGATAGAATTTTCTGTACTCAAGAAGGTTTAGACTGAAGAACTTGGACTCTCCAGTCACTTGCTTTGACCTGAACAGGGCGTAAGAAAACACCTAGCTCCACATTTCTCCAGTGAGGATTGGTTATGGACGGAGCTCCTGAATGCTTCTATACCAAGCGGGGATTCGCTGCCTCAGCCCTTCATAGCCTACATGGAGGTCTGAAGCTTTGTGGCAGAAATATACTTTATGAATATACTATGGACTGAATTAAGTATTACTTCTAACTTTTATGCTGAGCCCCAATCTCTAAAGTGATGATATTTGTGAGGACTCGAAGAGATCATTGAGTCTAGATAGTCGGGAATGTGGGGACCCTTTGAAGGGATTAGTGCCCTCAGAGAAGAGCTTGTTGTCACTGTTTGAGTAAACACAGAGCAAGAACACAGCCATCAGTAAGCAAAGGGGAGGGCCTCCATCAGGACCGGATCTTGCTGGCACTCTGATCTTGGACTTCTAGCACCCAGAACTGTGAGCCAATTAACTTCTGTCAATTCTGCTTCCAGTCTGTGGTGTTTTAGCGGCCTAGACCAACATACAAGCATCACTAGAAGCAGAGGAGGACTCAAATATTCTCTTTCCTTTTCCCTTTGACTTACAATTCTCCTGACAGCTGTAGTCCCTGGAATCAAGCATATAGGGACAACATACAAGAATGAAAACGTTTGGGTGGCTTCCCAAATTTTTATGTTTGTCAGTTACGAACTATACTATCAATCTGTCAAGTCCTAAGGGAGTGGATTTTCCTCTCTATAATTGATACTTCAATAAGCCTGAGTAAAAGAAAGAATATCAATGATTGGTAGACAGTTTTCCACAAGAAAAGCTCGCCATTGTTGGGTTTATCTGGTTTCAGAAAGAAACATTTGGAAGTAGCTTAATGTTTAAAACCCAGATGTCTGTTCCTACCTCCTCTTTACAGTTGTTTTGGTTCTTTGCATTTAGTAAAGAGAAAAAAAAAAGAAGAAAAAGAAAAGGCCCATCCTTGAGGCTTTTACTTGGAAGTGGGTTGGTGTGCAATGGGTTTTAGCATAATTCCCTAAGTGGGCTGTTGATCTGCCCAAGCCTAGTCTTTTACAAAACTGCCAGACTGACTTTTGCAGAAATATATGTTTATTCTTTTAAGTGTGCAGTAGGTGCACACAAGAAAATGAGCACACACCCCTACACATACTCTAATCCATCTTCTAAGGGTCATTATAAATTCTTGCAAGCAATACAGACTAAATATATAAAAAAAGAGCAACTTTCCTAATGACTCCTAATGTTAAGGTTTATTCTTCCCACAATAAAACTGGGCAATAAACCCACCCACTTGGAATTTTCTTCCTTCACCAAGCCACTACCCCTTATAAGCAGTTTCCTTTGACACACGATTCTCTTCCTCCAGTCTTTAACCCTGTATTTGTCAAAATATCAAGCACGTTATGTAGGATGACGGTCAAGGATCTAGATACTTGAAATGAATATCTAAAGGGAATCTAAGATGTTCAGGAATCCAGATGTATAGAACACTTATTGTCACTGTTGCTTCTGTAAAAAAAAAAAAAACAAACAAAACACCAACTTCACTCACCAAATAATTCCTTGTTTCTCATAGATCCAGTGACACTTACATGGATTTACTTTTGAGCTCTTTATCCCATGCCACTGGTGAACTGGTCTACCATTGTGTAGAGCAACCCCTGTCAGTGGCTAGAGCTAAGCCTTTCTCCTGGATGAAGCCGCAGGGCGATCGGTAATGAAAAGTCCCCAGACTATCTTAATACAAAATATACAGTTTTAATAAACAGAAGTAAGACTTATACCAGCTTACACCAGAATCCAAACGATCCGTCCGGACACAGGAGACAGGTGAGAGAGAGCTAGCAGGAGCGTGCTTGCAGGTTTATAGGCAAGCTTTAGCCTAAGGGCGGCACGCCCCCAAAACAGAATGTGATTGGCTGAACTCCCCTATCATCTGTCCCTACTTTTAAGGTTGATCTGAGGTCTCAGCTCATAGGATTGTTCTGCCCACATGCAAGGTAGGTTTTTCTTCCCAGTTAAACCTCTCTAGAAATGCCCTTCTAGACATACCCACAAATGTGTCTCCTAGGTGAGTCCAAACACAGGCAAGTTGAAAATGAAGATTCAGAACTCAGATATATCACTTTAAAAGATAACATTCCATACCCGGCCCCTAAAACCTCATAACAACTCATCTTATAAAGCAATACACATTTAGCTCATCTTGAAAAGCCGTCCAATCCTTAGTAGTGCCAACACCGTTCCAAAACACAGATTCTAACAATCTCCTCTGGGCTCCAAACCCATCTCTTATCTATGAGCCCTCATAAAACACACCAATTCATTACATCCTACTGACATGCAGTAGCACAGAATAGACATCTAGCTCTCAAATGGAGTGATGGGGGGACTAGCCAGGAAATCAACAAATCTTACCTGTTAAACCTTACCTGTTGCTTCAGTGGCAGGGGAAGCCCTGAGCGGCTACTTAGCTGTCTCAACCTTCAGTTCAAGGGAACCATCGTTGTGCCCCTTCCCACACAGCAGGAGAGTTATTACCCTGGGACCGAGACTTCTTTATTAGTAGAGCCCAAAGTTGAGATTATAAGATGCAGATGTTTTTCTAGTGGCCCACTGGGATTAGCAGTGAGAACTACCATTGTGTCTGTACCCGCTGATATTCACTCCCATGAATTCTGGCTATGGAAGAAATCAGTATCATCATATACTGGTTACTGACTTGGGTTATGCACTTACATCTAGAAGGTATTTCCCCTGCTATGAAAGATGTTGCCCTCTAGCTGATACCATAAAGGAGTCTTCAAAAGTCCATTTCACTGTCCTTGCAAGCAAGTTAATTCTAGGTGATGGAGAACAAGGAAAGACCAGTGAATTCCATGAGCACAGGCCTTTTCTACACGTCACTTGCCGTGACCAAGTCACTCTTTAGCTATAAATAGTGTAGGCAGTGCATGTAAGATACTGTGCCAATGGTAACCGCAAATGGTAGCTTTAGTGGAAGAATTGCAGACAGGAAAAGAAAGGTCACAGCCAGAGTAACTGTCTCCTTTAATAAAACAAAGCTCTACTCTTCATATAGTTGGAGGAGTGAACTTACTAAAGCAGCCTGCCACTAGGGCTCTGTCTGGTCCTGCAGGGAACTGTCAGACAGTGGATTAACATTAAACTCCTAGCTTTGCTGGCTATAGCCAGATTGACTTTAGTGAGTGGAAACCACAACGCTTAGCCCCCACATGGTCTCCAACCCTGCTATTGCTGTGTTCATGAATCTACTGGGCAAGGATAAAAGTGCCCAAATGATTGGTTTGGAATGCTGGAAAACTGGTGTTTCTAGAAGAGCAATCTGTATGATAGAAATTCCTGAAAATTTTTTAATTAAAATTATTATACAATATATTTTGTTTTTTCCCTCTCCCAACTCTTCCTTGATCCTCCTCACCTCTCTACTCATACAACTTTATGATCTTGCTCTCTCTTTTCACAAAATAAACAAAGAAACAACAACAACAACAACAACAACACACACACACAGAAGAAAATCAAGCCAAGCGGTGGTGGCGCACGCCTTTAATCCCAGCACTCGGGAGGCAGAGGCAGGCAGATCTCTGTGAGTTTGAGGCCAGTCTGGTCTGTAAGAGCTAGCTCCAGGATAGGCTCCAAAAGCTACAGAGAAACTCTGTCTCTAAAAAACAAAACAAAACAGAACAAAAAAAACCCCAAGAAAATCAAAATAGACAAGCAAAAGACCAATAAGGGAAAAGCCAAAACAAAGCAGAATGGAACAAAAGGGTCTCAAAAAAAAAAAAAACCCACTGAGTTCACCTTGTGTTGGCCAGCTACTCCAGGGCATGGCCCTGCCCTGGGCTGTGATTAATATACCTAATGACACTTTCCAGGAGAAAGCTGACTTTCCCTTTGCCAGTGGGGATCAAGTGCAGATAGCTTCTTGGTTAGGGATGTGACCCTGTTTCTACCTCCCCCTCTCCGTGGGCCCTGTCTGGCTTGTAGCTGGGCAGGTCTGGTACATGTTGTCACAATCTTTATGAGCTCACTTGTGTATTGGTCCCATATGTGTATTGTTTCTGAAAGGCATTGCTTCCTTAGAGTTAGACAACTGTTTATTTTGCTTTTCATTTAGAGTAACTCAGGATTCACGTGCCCCATATCAGTTCCCCCAGGGTGGCCAGTGACCAGGTTTCTCGGTGAGCACCGACCTTTTACCTTTTCCTCTGCACTCTGTGGTTCCTTTTGGAATGACTTCGATTCCCCTGCTCTCTGCGTTTTATAGTCATTATTTTTGTTTATATCAACTTTTATTTTATTAAAATCCATATATTTTATATATTAACCAATTTAGAGTATTTCTCAGGATTAAAATACTTTAATGTACTAATTCTCTGAATTTAAGGAATCCGCTTGGCTTGTTTCTCTAATTTCAAACATTAAAGCAAGAGAAGCGCAACATTCAGCTGAGTTCTGCATTTGAAAATTCAGTTTTAGTAGAATACTTCTAGAATTGCAGGTAAGGAATCAACAGGCCAGAGGTTGAATTAATCATGTTGACGTCATTTATCCCTTTGTTTATTGCTGTTACTAATCTACCCTTTAATGTACAAAGTAGGCCGACTGAAAACTCTGGTTTACAGGATGGCTAAGAGGTGAGATGCATCCACTCGCTCTCTTTATTCATGGATGTTTATCTGCCGATTAATGCTCATCCTTCATGTCTTGAGTCTTTTGCTGAGCAGCGTGCGCTGATCTGAGCATACACTGTTTCTCTTTCTGCTGTGGTTTTCCCTGGACTCGGTGGCGCCATGGTTGGGCTGTTCCACATGGGCTTCCTTAGGCACCTGCAAGACAGCCCCACAAAACTCCTGTGGACGTCCCTCTCTGCTATCAGCCAACCCCCTTCACATCTGATTTAACAGGACACCTCCACCCCATTTGAAAGACGATGGCGACATGGATTCCGAGACTCTGGACAAAGGGTGCAACTCCCTGCTGCGAACTCTTGTTTGTTCAAGCTGCTCGGTGAGTGCGGAGTGAATCCATTTTGCAACCATTATTCTGACCCAGATTTGATAAACTATTCCTGCCCTTTCAATAATAATGGGTCCCTTGACTGGTTTGTGTTGTGTGAGGAGACAGAGGGTGTCTTGTTAGAAATCATTTGCTCTCCTTCAAACACCCCAATGTTTTTTTTTAACCATGAAAAGGACTTTGCTTACTGCGCTGGGTGTGCAGGCAGGCTTCGGGCACTGAATGTTCCCTTGCCATCTGAGCTATAAACAAATAACAAATTATGCAACAAAGCCTCTCAAGGTTTGGCTTTTCTGTTTCCAGGCCCGGGTGCTCTTTCTCACACCATGGGCAGCTCGGAAGGAAAATGGAAAAGCTTGCTGCTGGAAGCTCATCAAGAGCAGAAACTAGGCCACTCGGTGCCAGTGATTCCCCGGGGCTCCTGGCGGCTGTGGAAGCTTCCACGTAGCTCATTTCCGAACCAGTACTTGGTGTTTCAGAACGAGGCTGCTAAGGCCTGTGTAGATGGTGAAGAGCATTGTGGGAACTGAACAGCATCATGGGAACCAGGGGCTATTGCAGGCAACTTTCTGAGCCAGCAGGAAAAAGCTCAGATCAGGTTAGTTTCTCCCCATTTTTGAAATGAAACCTTTATAGGCCAGAAGAGGGAGGTCCTTTGTTTTTATTTATTTATTTTATGTGAGAATAAACCTGTGTGAATGGTAATTTGGTTTCATTTCTTGCAAACGATACACTGTTGGCTCTAGGAACTTAACTGTGCTCTCAAAATTGCAGTGATAACCATAGTTTAGCAAGGCTGCTTTTGTTCTTAATAGTTATTGTGCATTAAACAGAGCCATCCCATAATTCCCCCATTGCTCTAAGCTTTCCCCTGAAAACAAAGCAGACACCTATTACCTTTGTTCTGCAAACTGTATTCTCAGAGATCACCCCGTCACTCTTGGTTTCCATGACTTCTTCTAAAACTAAATCAAAGAAGATACAGAGATTGACCAGCATAATTAAAAATAGTGTCTAGGAATATCCTGAGGAAGGAAGGACTGGAGAGGCAATGTAATGCGCTTAACAAATGTTACTATTCCAATTGCTGGCTTGCATCTTTTTAACCTTCTTTCGTTGCTATTAGTTCATGTGTATGGGTGTTTTGCTTGTGCGTATGTTTGTGCACCAAGTAGGTGCCTGATGCCCTCAGAAGCCAGAGGGTGATGGATCCCTTGGAGTTGGTGTTACAGATGGTTGTAAACCACTGGCTGGGTGCTGGAAATTGAACCCTGGTCTTTTGGTAGAGCAGTGACCACTTTTAACTGCTGAGCCACCTCTCTAGGTCTAGTATATAATTTGATTTTATTTTTTCGCTGTTAATTTGTTAGGGACATGGCACTGAGATTGTTTTACCTGTGTCTGGTTCACATAGACAAGTTCTTCTGGGCTGCTAGTAATATCACTTAGTTCAGTCTGAGTAGACTCAGACTTGGTGCCAGGGTTCTACTCTGTACTCTTCGACCTGATGCTGTGGGACCACAGGACACACCAGTTGGTGAGGATGTTTGACAGCATTGAGTATGAGCGTGTTCTGAGTTTCCAGGAGAGACCCTACTATGAACAGCAGGATGATATAGAAGTTGTTAAACATTGCTGATCTACAATGTGTTGACTTGTGACTTCTCATTGTATTTTAACACCTAATGATTGGGAATTGAGCAGAGAGGCTCAATACATATCGATATAGTATGGATAAAACTAAACAACCATAAGGATGGGCTTACTATTTCAATAGTTCTAGGATTTTAACACCGTCTTACAGTGATTATTTACTTTCCAATGCAATTTATTTTTTAAAGATTTATTTATTTATTATGTATACAACATTCTGCCTTCATGTATGCCTGCACGCCAGAAGAGGGCGACAGATCTCGTTACAGATGGTTGTGAGCCACCATGTGATTGCTGGGAATTGAACTCAGGACCTCTGGAAGAGCAGCCAGCGCTCTTAACCACTGAGCCATCTCTCCAGCCCCCACAATTTATGTTTATAGCAGAAAATAAATTAGTTAGCTCTGGAATATGAAAGAACAGAAGATAAAATGCTCACAGTGGGTCAGAGGTCTAGATGATAAACGCGTCCTCAAGGTAAACATAAACAGGTTGAAATCATTTTAATATTTGAGGATTTCTTGAAAACAAAAAATAATTCAAAGTGAAATGATTCAGCATATGGCCAAAATCTGTTCATCTATACCTTGTGATTTTTATTAAAAACATTTCTCTTTTGTCTCCTTGGTTCGACTTTATTTGAACTGGGGTCTTTCTGTGCAATCCAGGCTGACCTTGAGTCCCTTGTCCTCAGACCTTGTCACCTGAATGTTAGCTCCTTAGCTCTGCTTGTGGATGGGTCCTCCCAAAGCAGGCTGATGCATCTTTATCTCAATGGCTCAATGTTAGTGGTGTGAGCCCAGTGCAGACACACAGTTTGAAAAGCCTACTTATTGTCCACAGGAAAGAGAAATGGTTAACAAAACAGGGCGAACTGAGCGTGATGCAACTCACAAGGCTGAGGCAGGAAGATCATGACTCTAAGACTGGCCTTGGCTACACAGTGAGACCTTGTTTAAAAAGCAAAACAACCAACACCCTTTCACAATTAACCAAACTAGTGGTAGCAGCAATGTGCTAATTTACTAAAAACATATTTGGAGTTGTGTGACTATATAAATGGGAATGTTTGATTTAACTGAGGTCTACATAGTTTACTTCTGCAGTTACCTGATTCTAGTTTGAAGAGTAAGTTATCCATTTTATATTTTTCCTTGTGTCATGATCCTGCAGAATAGGAGGGAAGGGCAGGGCATTGTAGAGCATCTTTAAGAAAGTGACCAACCTGTTAAGATGCCATCAAGGTGGTCCACCATGAACTTTGCATCTTCTTCTGTGAAGCACATGGGTGGCTTGATTTTGAGTACATTCCTGTGGGGGCCATCAGCACTGAGAAGCACCCCTTTCTCCTTCATCCTAATCAGTGCATGAAAGGACCATGAGCATGTACAGTGGGGATAGGGGGCAGTGAGCATGTGCAGTGGGGATGAGGGGCAGTGAGCACATGCAGTGGGGATGGGGGCAGTGAGCATGTGCAGTGGGGATGAGGGGCAGTGAGCACGTGCAATGGGGATGGGGGGCAGTGAGCATGTGCAGTGGGGATGAGGGACAGTGAGCACGTGCAGTGGGGATGAGGGGCAGTGAGCACATGCAGTGGGGATGAGGGGCAGTGAGCACGTGCAGTGGGGATGAGGGGCAGTGAGCACATGCAGTGGGGATGAGGGGCAGTGAGCACGTGCAGTGGGGATGAGGGG